GGGTGCCGCAGCCGTGGGCAATGGGCTGGCCCTGGGACTGCGCGGTGTGCACCCTGTGGCGGGCCAGCCCTGGGCAGCCCCTTGGACAGGGGTGCGGCGTGGCCGTGTCTTCCTGCCTGGCCTCTCCAGGCCAGAGGTTTTCTGCAGACCTCGCTCCTCAGACTTCCTTTTCTCTGTTCCTCCCTCCGTCCACACCACACTCCGCCCGCTGTCGGTGGATGCCATGGCTGTCAACGCCTTGTAGCCCCTGATGTCTTAGGCACAGTCTTCATGAAGCCTGTGCTGGGCAGCTCCGGTGGCCGGCGTCCCTTGGGTCATGGCGACGTCACCTTCGCTCCTGTGTGACTTGGAGTCTGGCTGGGGGTGGACGTTCTCAGGCAAGAACAGCATCAGTGAGGTGGGGCTGGTGGGCCAGGTGGTCACTGCGGCCAGGTTGGGGCACAGAGAAGCCGCTTCCTGGTCTCCGTGTTCAGCTTGCTGACTCCTGGGGTGCTGCCTGCCTCCAGGGTGCCTACCAGGACCTTCCTCTCTAGGGCACCCCGACTAGCTTTCCCCGCCCAAGTCTGGCAGAAGCCCCATGGAACGCCGCAGCTCTCAGACACGCTGGCACCCAGCAGGCATCTGTACTTTGGAGGACCAGACACTGGCTCAGGCCCACCTCGGCTGGTCTCCTGGCACCTCCAGAGATGCCCTCCACCTCAGTGTCCTGCCCCCAGTGTCCGTGCTGCCCAGGGGTCAGTGTGTGGCTAGCAGCCGCCTGGGTACAGCAGGGCAGACCACTGGCACTGGCTGGTGTGGAGGCTGCCTCACTCAAATGTCCCCAGGGCCCTGGCAAAAAGCAGTGTCCCCGTGGACATGGTCCAGGTCATGTCCATCGGGGCCTTCAGGGACTCCTGTACTCTGGGGAGCAGAGCCTTAGCCAGAGGCATGCCCAGGCCCAGCAGTGGGCCAAGGTCAGCAGGCATCTCTCCAGCAGCCCTGGCTACACCGGCACTGTGGAGACAGGACAGCGGGCAGCACCGTACACATGGCCACGCAAGGGTCCGGCTGCCTTGGCCTCCTGGCGTTGGCCTGGGGGGGCAGATGGAGGTTCTGAGAAGTGAAGGGACCAGCTGGTGGCAGGGGGGGACTTGGTAAGGACACAGGGAGGTCCCAGCCATGGAAGAACCCCCCACCTCAGGCCGGCAGGGCCTTGGGGGTTGCAGAAAGGAGCGGGGAGGCCCGGGGCCTGTCCTGGTTCTGTGGGAGGACATGGCCATGTGCAGCTTTGGGCTGGCCAGTCCGGGGAAGGGCAGCCCAAGAGGCTGGCCCTGGCATGACCTGGGGCTGGGAAGAAAGGAGGGCAGGGGACTGGGCTCTGGGCTGTGGGGCGGAAGTCGCACAGCTGCAGCCTGCCTGGGGTAGCTGGGCGGGATGGGAGCACCTGCTGTCAGGTCAGGCAGGTGTCAGCCGCTCCTGGGTGCAGGTGGGGAGGGAGCATGGCGGCTGTGCCACTGCGCCAGGCTGCACTTGATTCAGGGAACACAGCCCTGGCTGGAACCTGAGTGGGATCAAAGGTGCTCGTGTTCCTCTCTTCAAGAGGAAAGAAGATCCATCACCCCCCACGCAGAGGCAGCCCCCGGAGCAGGCCGTCTGCTGTGTTCACGCCGCCTGGCCCCAATGCTGGCGGACTCCCCTCTGTGTTCCAGAAATGTGTCTTTCCTGAGATGAGTCACCCCACCACAGCACTGCTCAGGAGAGGGGGCTCGCAGCCTGACGCAGCCGCAGTCACTAAGGATGGCCACTGAGGGCAGCGGCTGCAGGGGACAGCGCACTCCTGTGGAGTCGGTGTGGCTGGGCACGCGTCATCACGCGGGTCCCCTGCCAGTCTGGGGGACGGGCCAGAAGTGCGAGTGTCCAGACCCTTGGCCAAGGGCACACTGGGTGGTGGGGCACAGCTGCAGGCAGACCAGGGAGGAGCCCTGTGCCCGCCCGCCATCCTAAAGGAAGGAGCAAGAGCACTGGCTCTTGCCGGAAGCAGCCTTGCTGCTGGGCAGGGGCTTCCTCACAAGGAGATGCAGGGCCTGCCCAGAGCCCGTGCTCCATGGAGCACACGTGTCCTGCTCAGCAAGCACATGTCCCAGGCCACACAGGGAAGAGGCCCTTCTCTCCACTCTGTTTAGGAAGTCAGAGGCCAGCCTCGCACCCACGTGCCATTCCAGGTCCCTGGTGGGCATGGCTGAGGAGATGCCAGACAGCAGGGCTTGGCCAGCAGTCCCACCCTGGATGGTGACAGGGGCAGGGACGCTCCTCCCGGGACCCTTGCGACGCGGGTAGGATTGCCCCCAGCCCTCCCTGGTCGTCATGTCCAGACCCTGGGCACTTTGGCATGCTGCAGTGCTGACCCCATGCTGGGCACTACCCCAGACCCACTTGAGTGGCCTAGGGAGTCCACGAGGGCCGGGCCAGTGAGGCTCTTGGCACCAGGAAGGGACAGAGGCATGCGGCTGCTTCCCGGCGTCCAGGAGCTGTGACCGGCCTCTCTGCCCACGCCATGGCTCCTGCTCAGGGCCACCACCCACTCCCCACAGAGACCCTGGGCAAGCTGGGCCCGAGACCGCGCTGTGTGCCCCAGTCCCTACCCCAGGACAGGGCTGTGGAGAAGTCCAGTTTGGCCCGACCTCCCCAGCACAGCCACCTTCTCCGGGGCTGGTGTCAATGGCACCATCTGCAGTATTGTCGCGGTGCTAGCCGCCCTTGGGACGGGGCTGCCTACGGGAGCCCTGGCCACCGTACTGGCCTGAGTCTCAACAGGCAGCTGGCCACACTCTCCCATCCTCTCGGCCCTCTGCCGAGGTCCTGACGCTGAGCCCCGTCCGTCCTGCAAGACCGTGGAGCCCTAACGCGCCATCTGCACATCCTGAGGGCAACACGCCTCTCCCGCTGCAGCCTCCTGGCTGCCCCACCCAGGTGCTCCACGCAGTATGCGTGGTCACACATCTCAGGCCACGCACCCCCTTTCTGAGACCCCAGGGCTGACACCTGCTGACTGACTGCAGGTGCGGCAACAACCCCCAGGTACTGCCGCGTGGGCAGAGGGCCGGCCTGCCACCGTCGCCTCCACTCAGGAAGGCTGGGCACACAGGCTTCCTGCAGCGCGTGCCGGGGAAGTGTCAGGACTGGCAGGGAACATGCCCATGACTTGGGCGGCGTGCACTTCCAGCATATGGCTCTGCCCGTCAGAGCTGCAGAGCTTGCCCAGGAGAGGGCCCAGGACCACTGCACCCCCTCGGCGCCCACGGGGGCACCGAGGCCTGCTAGTGTCGGGCTCCTGTGGGCACGCAGTCAGGAAGGCCCAGGATACAGGTCTCCGTGGAGAGAATCCCTGGCCCCAGGCCCAAGCCCTGGGACAGGCTCCCTCCAGCCCCACTCAGCCCTGCTCACCCCCAGATGCTGCCCTGTCTCACCCACCCACCGTCCACCCTAGAGGATGCCCCATCCACCCACTGTCCACCCCCAGAGCCTGGCTGCCCCGTCCACCCACCATCCACCCCAGAGGCTGCCCTGTCCACCCACCGTCCACCCCCCAGGGCTGCCCCCCCCCCCCCCACCCCCCCCAGAGCCTGCCCTGTCCACCCACTGTCCCCCCCAGAGGCTGCCCCGTCCACCCACCGTCCACCCCCAGAGGCTGCCCCATCCACCCCAGATGCTCCCTGGCTACCCACTGTCCACCGCAGATGCTGCCCCATCCATCCACCGTCCACCCCCAGAGGCTGCCCCGTCCACCCACCGTCCACCCCAGATTCTCCCCATCCTCCCACCGTCCACCCCAGAGGCTGCCCTGTCACCCCCATGCGTGCTCTGCATGGCTGGCCAGCAGGATGAGAGGTACTGGCTGCTGCTTTTCTCTAGCTGATGTGGCCAGGTCCACGGGGCCAAGGTGCTGATCATCACTGACGTGGGCATCTGGGACAGGCTGGTCCTCCAACTATGGCGACACACTGTCCAGGTGGCTGTTGTGGAAACACTGGCCACCACTGGCCACCAGAGGCCAGGGGGGGGGGGGGGGGGG